TATATATATATATATATATATATATATATATATATATATATATATATATATATATATATATATATATATATATATATAAAATACCGGCATTATGTGAAATTCAGATATTATATAAAATATCTAGACATCCTACAGAATTGAATGAAAAAGAGACAAAAATATGATTCAAGCACAACACTGTATATACGTCATTGTTTAATTCGAGAATGTGTAGCATTATACGATATAATTCTTGTAGAATACTACCTGTCGGAACGCCAAGGGCCTTTGAGCCTCTGCCAAAACCCTTGACGATAATTCCAGATGTGAAATACGGCAATACTTTGCTGCACATATTTCGAGTTCATTCCACACTAGCCGACGATATTCTGCGTAAACACTTGAGAAGATTATGCTGGCTTGTCGGTGTGATAAGTAAAAATGCGATAGATGCGAAATTGATATGACGTAGTGCTTAACAATTAAGTTCCGCAACGACTGTGAGACTAAATAAATATTTCTTCGAAAAATCTTGTCGAATTCCAGTGAAATTTCGTCTGCGTTACGTTCTGGCGCATGGAATAAGCGTACAATAATCAAAAACGTCGCGTTGGACACTGCAAAAAGAATCGTAAGCTATCAATGATGATGCTTTTGAGGTTAGGGTATCTATCATCTGTGCGAACGGTTCAATCGTAATTACATATTTATGCGTGCAATTATATGTGCAATTTATTACGCAATTATATCATGTACAAACGTGTAGTGAGATTTTAAAAGCAAATTTCGCACATATAGAAAATTGATTGTGCGAAACGCATGGTATGATCATCTGTAACCAGAACGACGATTTTAATTATTATTTTCTCGTATTACATCCGTCAAAATACGCAATAATACTAGATCTTACGTGTGTCACTTTGTGGAAGATATACAATACTTAAATATTATATAATCGTTGCATACACGACATTGGGAGGTCTATGTGGTTACTGTGTGGTATAAACTGAACTGCATATAACTTACTGATCAGAATACGTATAAATATTGTATGCAATTTCTAAATTCTATGCAACACATCACAATATATTATTATGAATTTACATTTACTAATCTACACAATTTTACTTTTTAATTGCACATTTTTAATTGTACTACATCAAATAAGAAACATTTAAGAAGATACTAGATACTAACATAATGCAGTTTAGTAGTTCATATTGCTTTTCTATTTGGTTGCATAGAATTGCAAATATCTTTATATAGAATGAAAGTACAAATGTTAATGTATGGAGAGACACCAAATATTCTATCAGAAACAAAAAAAAATAAAAAAATTGGTAAATAAGATTTTGATTTTTGTGTCTTTCCATGCATTGACATTTGTACTTTCACTCTGTGTAAATATAAAAATTGATAAACGTTTTGCAGAATGCCTAGGTATTCTATACAATAGTTTCACACAAGCCGATAACATATAGGTATACATCATTTGTTGAACAGAACTATAGCAGAGGCATAAGAGTACTTGGTCGTCTATGTATACACGTCATTGGAGTTAAATGTTCCCGACGAGTTCATAGTCAAAGGCGCGTCCTAAATGTAAAAATAAAAAAAAGCAGTGGTCAATTCAGTATTGGTGATCGTAATGTAAACTGAATTTTGTATTTTTCCCTAGCATTCGTATTTTAAGCAATGATCGAGATCGAGGACGATTGAAGATCTTGACTCGCTGCAGGTTAGAATTTTCCGTAACTGTGCGCATGATTCATTTCAAATCGACGATTACTCTGTGTAAAGACAATTACAATTCCAATTCAAAGAATTGGAATACTTTACAAATACTAATTCTTTACAAGACAAAGACAATTACAATTCTATGCAACCAAATAGAAAAACCGTGCAAACCATGAAACTGCATTATGTCGATGTCCAACATTCTCTTAAGAAACAAGAATTTAAACGAGTACACATTCACACCAGTCTTCTAATAGTTCTTTATTATAAATAAAACTATGTCTTTAACAAATTACAGAAGAATATACGTGTACGTATGAAATCGTCGGTCGCTCGAACGGTCTTCAACGCGACCGAATATTGATTAACGACATTACTTGCGGAGAGTACCGATCCACGGAATCCCGTTTTTTGGACACAGCGGATCCTCCACCTCCTTGCGGATTCGATGCGCTCCGTAATAACGTTTAATAACACGATAATTTAAATCGACATAAATTAAATATCACATAGAGAGTCTTGTTATAGCTGAGATGACCTTAGCGAAATTATCCGTAGAAAATTTCATTCTATGCGGGTACTTCTCACTTCTTGTCTCTCTTTTCTTCCCGCCCGTCTTTCTCTATGCGCGGCTTAGGTATCGTGCGACACGCCAGTGTATTCTTATTTGCAAAGTGCATCTTGCAGACCTCTCAACAGATCTTCCACGTGTACGTAATTACGCGCACATGCCGCAAGAATGATTACACCCGTACAATATGATGACAGATTACAAACTCGCCGAATGTGCGATTCGGATCAAAACATTGCCTATGTGTACAGATGTCAGATATCACTATAAAATCCTCGCTCGATCTCGATGAACGTATAATCAGTAGAAGGTGTACATTTGTAAAAAGAAGTCGGCGTATCCTCGAAAAAACGGTGTGTCTCTGCATCGAACGATTCTATACCGTTCAATCGTCAGCTTTCGTATCGATCAGGTGAGAAAAGGCCAAAAAGAAAAATTACGAGCACGCCTCTGAAACTCAAGCGAAAAGGAATATATGGAAAAATTAATGTGTATTATTTACATGGTATATACAGGTACATGAAATTACAAGCTCTGTTCGACGAGGTTTCCCCTTACCGGACTCGTGAATCGAAAAGAGAGCGTGGATCTATTTGATTGAGGATTTTTCAAATAGCTCCTTTTCACAGTTTCGCGTACGGTGACGGGCGAGATGTTCTCTCGACTCTGATTCCCGGCGACTTGAACTCGAGAATTGAAACCGATGTCAGTTCTCCGTTCGTTCGTTTTCTCTTTTTCCCCTTTTCATTTCAATTTTCATCCTCGAAATCGTCTCCACTGAGAGTGAGTCCGAACTGTGATCGAGATATCACGCGCGTAACACACAGCGGCTTCGATTCTCGTTAGGATTCTCCACTTAAAAAAATACACAATCGCGAATGAGACAGTGCTTTACACGCAGTATATTACGTATGAAAAAACTCCCACGGTAGCATGCAAGGTTAACGTGTCTTTATTACATATGAAATGACCGGCATATCTTCTTTTTACTGCGTTACTTTTATTATTATTACTATTATTATCAATTATCGTTATCATTATTATTAATATTATTATTACTCTATTATTATGTTTAATTTATTCTTTTTCTCGTTTCTCTACGGCTCGACTTAAGCTTCTGCAGGCGCACACATTCACATTCGCGGTGACTATCTGATTCGATGTTTTCTTTTACTTTTATTTTTGTGTTTCGAGTTGCTGCATGCGGCGTACAGTAATAAGAATTCACGCAGACCGGCACAATAAGCCTCGACGTGTGAAGTTGTATTATTTTAGAATTCCCCATAAAAGAAATATATTTGCGCTTCAGAAAGATATAACTTGCTGAGACTCTATTATGCCGATCTGTGTGTTCAACACCCCCCTCCCCCACCCTCCAACGTAACGTTCAAGGAAACACGCGATTTATTTATTATTATTATCATTATTATCGATCTAATTTAGAGAAAACGCTGGCATTCGGATTGAACTATTCAAGGCATGCCGCATGTACAACCAGCTAACTACAGAGTTACTATTACCCTATGTTTTTTCTTTGTCATTATATTCGTCTCGTTAACTATAATAAAAATGATAGAATAAATTGTAATGATATTTATATACCACTAATCAATTAGCTGAAATGGCCATTCCTCACTCGTGAAGGAATAATTAATAAGTAAATAATCTTTATATCTATCTTCGTAGCTTTAATTTCTAATCTTTTTCTCTTTAATATAAGTGCTTATCGTATCTATTTTCAACAAGGTATCCTCGACAGTATTTAACGTAACAGTCTGCCAACAGCGCAAGGATCTAAAGTGCGTTTCAATCTCAATCCGCTTTCGGTCACTTTTCGAAAGTTCCGTTCCCTCCCGATATAATCTGTTGGCCGCAACAGTATAATCTTTCAATTCAACCTCAAGATCAATGAGTTAACAACGCAACGTGTCATGCAAGCATTACTGAAATTCTGTAATATCGATTACATTTGGCAAAGCGACACATGTAAACTCGCTGCTTAATCTTTCCGTTCGCAATTCGTAATAGGCCCCGCGCGCGGAGGCGTCCTCTTTTTTTCCTTTTACTTTATTATATCGTGAATGCATTCCACAGGCATCTAGGCACAACAGATATAAAAGTAGTACACTCAGAAGTATCCAGATATTTTTTTTCGTAGCAATCTATTATCTTTAAAATAGCACTATGATATACATCCTAAGATAACGCACATTGGCGTGTATTCTTTCTCTGTTCTTTTTTTCTTTCTCATTTCTCTTTCAATATCGTTATTTGTTCTCTTTCTCTCTCTCTCTCTTTTGCTTTCTTACTACAACGAGCCTGTAGTGTTAAAGCAAGTATATTATTTATTATATATGTATATATCATTTTGCACATAAATGGGAACGTCATTCGCAGAGGTATTAACACGACAAGCTCGTATAGCACAATAGTGGGTTACAACATCGAGCGTTTACGGTTTTACAATTTCGATCACATTCTTCGCGCGATTCAACCTCACCTATATATAAAATCTCTTGTAGAATATACCAAATCCGTTACAACCGCGGTATTTGTAGTATCGTTTACGTAGTATCGTTTACATTATCCATGTATTATCTTATTTGAAAGATGTAGAGCAGAATGTGTAGCACACCTTCGAGTGCCACCGGCGGTGGAGATTCTACGAACAATGTATTTAGGACCTTTTTCGCATGCTACATATACGTCTCATCGTGTCGTCCCATAGCGGGTCGCGTGATTACAACGTCTTCTGTCGATTGCGATTTTCTTTCTCATATGATGAACAAATAAATACCAGACATCTATGACGAACAAGTAGTCATTACCGTAAGCTCCTACGAATATCTATACACTGTCTCTTTGAGAATCGCATATGTTCGCATATCGAGAGAAAATACATACACACATACACAATTTTCTCTTTCTCCCTCTCTCCCCGCCTCACTCAATTAAAAGAAAATTATAATGTGATGCATGTTGTAATAACTATACGGTATTATTAATTTCGATATTATTAATTAACAGTCGGGATTATCATGGATGACAGCCGAATTATTCGTTCATTCATGTTATCGCCGTTTCTCCCCCCGGAAAGAAAGCTAACTCCCGATGTTGCTACAGCAAAACAGAGGATACATGGGAAGGGGGTGTGGTAGAGACTAGCAATTGTTAGGATCTGGCGGCGTGACAAGGTATTCGTCGGCGCGTTTGTGGTCCGACAACGCTCGCATCGTGTACGAGTCCTGTGGTAAATCACTCTTCCTTCGTAAAAGCGGTTTCACTTTGTTCACATTTGTCATTTTCTTCGCCTTGAAAAAAAAATATGTAAAGCGTTATGAAACATTTATTATTATAAAACATTTATTTTTCTTCCTTCCATAATACATTACCTCGAGCAAATTCTTTGTACACTGCGACATAGCAAGAGAACTATATCGTACCTCGTTAGCCTTAGCCTCGATCTTCTCCAAAGTGAGCGGAGTTTGATCCGTATCGCCGTCTTCGTCGGGCGGCGAGTTGTCTATGTGTTGCGGCGAAGTGTACAAATTGTTCGTTGTGTTTTTGTTAGACAGATTATAATTCGGATGTCTCATTGCGAGAGCCTCTACGCGCATCCACGCTTCGTCCCGATCTTTCATGAGCTTTCGCTCTCTTTGACGTTCCTGCGAAGGAAGAGTGCAGAGTCGAAATAAATAAATACGTGTGTGTATATATATATATATATAATTTTTTTTTTTTTTTTTTTTTTTAATATATACATATATATCTTATATTTTCATATAAGATAGCATCAAGCGTGAATATACAATTTGTTAAGTTGCCATTTTGATTTATAACGATAGAAGCGAGAAAAAACATATAAAAATTCTTGCAAAATACCTTAAAATAAAATGACATGTTTACAACATGATACTTGCAATCGATCGAACAGATCCGTAAAATAATCTAAACACTTTCTTTTTACTCCAACAATCAACAAGTAGCCGTAAAATTAATATGACAAAATCATAAGATTAAAAAGAAAGATTGTATGTCATATTAACTTTACAGTTATTTATCGATTATCCGAGTAAAAAGAAAGAGTTAAGACTAGTTTACAAATCTGTTCAATCGCTTGCAAATACATTTTATGGACATATCTTTTTATTTCAACGTATTTTATAAGAATTTTTAGCAAAGAATTTTTAAGTGTTTTTTCGTTTCTGATGTGATTAATTAAGAGTTCCACGGTGAGAAGTCAAGAGCCTTGAGTTTCAATTCACCAAGATTCGAAGTTAAGTGTAGGGGAATGTCTGTCGGCGAAATTATAATTTTAAATTCGCCCTCAATGTCAACGTAAAGATCGAAATTGGGTAGTCACGCGTTTTACTTGTCGACACGTGTCGGGAATGCACGAATGCTGCGTTTACGAAACATACGTGATAGTAGTGTGTTGTACATTCATCGAATACTTTTTGATTCATCTCCATGAACAGTTTCAGGGCGTTGTAGATCAGACCGTGGATCGTCTTGTTCCAGTGGTTGCGGGAGTTTCTATAGAAAGCTGGATACATGATTGGTAGGATGACTGCGTAATTGTCCGATATCAGGGACATTATGTACTCATTGTTCCAGTAATAGAGAGCTCTTTCCGCCACCTAAAACAACAACGAGCGGCTCGTAGAACGGCGTCGCGCGCGAAACCAAGTAACGGAGACGACGCGCGGGCGCGGACGCGTAATACTTACTTGGAAATGCGGCGACGACACGCATTTGGCTAACTGCCTGAACAACGGATCCATGACTTTTTGGAATTCGGCCGGCTCAATGACATCCAGTATCTCCTCGAGCTCGTTCAAGAACATGACTTCCTTCGGGGAATGTGTTTTCGGCCAGAATTTCAATAGATTCCTAATCACGGGCTCCGTCAACGACGGATCCTTTTCCAGAAATTGGACGACGCAGTACGCCAGTTGCGGATGATACACGGACAATGACTTAGCTTTATGCAAGGGTAACAGAACTTTCAACAAGAATACCTTGTGTTCTTCCTTCAATGGCAGGGCGAAGCCGTTAATAATACTGCGCAGGAAATAACACACTGCGATAAATATACCTCGCCTCTTCCAACGATTGAAAAAATCGAAGGGGATCATCGCACGTCCTTGAGTGGTATACCTTACCTTCCTAAAATCTCGAGTAATTCGGCGATACCGTTGTGATGTTCCGTTTCATAAATGAATCGATAGAAAACGTTGTTTATTTGTTTCCTAATGTACGCTCTGAGGCCCAGGAATTTCCCATAGATTCTGTGCAGAGTCGTTTTGAGGAAGTCCCTTTCCCGCGGGTCTTCAGAGTCAAACAGTTCCAGAAGCTGCAGCACGAACTTCTGATCTATGTAGCGCTTTGCTATGGACGGCTGGAAGTCCTGCGACTCCAGCAGTCGCAAGAAGAACTCGTAGACGAGCTGTAAGTGAGGCCAGGCTGCCTCCAACGTCGGCTCGTCCTCCTCGGGATCGAACTCGGCGCCATTGGGATTCGATGACGGCGGTAACGTTCGGAATAGATTCACGGCGAACTGCAAATAGTAGTTAACATTTCGTTCGTGGAATCTCTCGCCATTGTCGAATTCGTAAGGGCAATAATCTCGTTTAATCGCGCAAGGGTCTGCGCTCTCGCGCTACAAACAGAAGAAGAGAGGGAGAAACAGAAAATGAACGTGTGTACGTCGAGATGCCGCTTACCATATTCACTGCTTCGGGATAAATCGCTTCGGTAATAACGTTTTTGTTTTTGGTTACATACTCGACCATCTCGTGGAGAGCGGTGCGCTTCACCTCTTTCCATTTTAAATCCGATAGGGGATCGGACTCGAAGTCGAAGAGCACGCAGCACTGCCGCAGCTTCTGTATGAAAAGTTCCTCCCGCTCGTTGCCCTGTTGTGTTTCTGCAATCAGATAGTTTGCAAACAGATAATCAATTTCGACGCACTCTGCAATCTTTACCTTAAAGAAAATGAGAATAATAACGACGCAATGTGCGTCGCTATTAATTACGTCTGCATGAATATCGATATGGTCAAATATGAGAGACACAAGTACACTCGCGAGATATTGGGGATTCTTTTTTCTCGGTCATTCTTGTGTCTTCTTGTATGAGTTATTTTACCATGTGACGAGTAGCTTCTACATGCCCCACCTGCGCAATTTACGGTCATCTTCTTCTTGATACGAACGAGAAACCGACTTTTTTTGACCAAAATTAAACCTGCAGAAATGTTTACACATGTCACATTTGTAAAAATATTATCGATGGAAATATCAACATCCCATTTTGCGCGGCGAGCTTAAGATTATTTGTCGGAAATAAAGAAATACATAAATACATGAAGCTACTATCCGGCAATATCAATGCCCCGAATTCCGAAAGGGTCTCGCGATCTTCGACTAAACGAATGAGCAAAGTCGGTTTTAATCAACAAATCCTCCGATAACGACGGGGGCAGCGCTCGTTCGCGGTGTAATTTCCTGCCAACAAAGATGAAGAAGCGCACGCGATCGCAATCGATATTCTATTTGCTCCTCTCGGTGTGTCTTTTTTGATCTACCGTAAGCAGCTCGTTCTAGATGTTAATGGGTCTCCGCCGCTTCCCGCCGGTTATTCGTCACGAAGGGCATGTACCGTTGCGCGAGGTCGCTTTCGCTCAATATTTATACGCAAATCTTTAATGGCAAACCCGGCGAACTTTGCGACCTAAACTTCGCGAGAGCGTTCAATCGGGCCGGCTTCCGTGGTGCGAGGTCGATCACGACCTTCAAAATATCGCGGCCGCGAGACTGGGCAGCATTATTTATCGGTCGCTATTCCGGGCGATCTCCATAACAGAGCTAACGAAATCGATTGCCGAAGTTCGTCGCGAGTTCGCCACCCGAGCGCGTCGACGCGGACATCTGCTTCTGTCGTTGCGACCGTAATTACAGCCGGTTCTTGTGCAATGTATAGTGGAATCTAATTACTCAAAGAGGACAATTACATTTTACTTCATCACGCACACACACATACACACACACACAAGAACCGTATTCAAAAACTGCTAGCAGGAGAGTAGCTTTACCGATCAGGAGAGGTTGTAGCGGTTGATGGTGCAACGCGAACGTCACCGGGTATGCCTTGGTCGAGTCCTGAGGCAACACCGTCGCCAAGGCGAGACCCTGGTGAAAACTGGGGCTCTTGGGCAGTCCGCCGCCCAGAGACGGGCTGATACCACCCACGTGAACCATCGCGCGATATCAATGTGCAAAACGCAGAAGCCAGTCACGATTTTGCAGCCGCACTCTTACTCCGGCGATGCATCAACGAATCTCCGGTATCTCTCCGGGTCTCTCTGTCTCTTTCTCACTCTTTGTCGATGATTTCCACCTCGTGCCGATCCGCGATTATAAGTTCGGGATGATCACGCACTCGCCGGGATTGTCTCCTCCCGATGTCAAAGTCGCGATCAATAATGTTGGCCGCTTACGTCCGCGATTTCGCTCTCAGATTTCCTTTGGGGACGGTGTGCCGACGTCGTCCGCACGTCAGGGTAGTTCGAATTTCAAGGTACGAAAAGTCGCAACATCCGCGTCGGCGCGAATTACGACTGACGTTTCGATCGCAAAGTAATCCCGCACGGTCACAGCAGGCGGAATCGCGGCGGATTTCCCGGATTTAGTGGAAGATCCGGGAGTCTCCGGAAGGCAATTTCCGGAGGGTGTTTTTGCCGCGCCGGCTACGATCGTCGCCGATTCGCTCGGCGAGGATACGCCGGACTTTATTGAGCCGGCCTACGGCAGGTCACGTCACTTTTACCAGCTTCCCACGTTATTCCCCGCATCGCTTCGCGCGATGGAAACGCGAAGGAAACACGCTTTTATGGGGCTTACGCAGGCTTACGCAGGCTTACGCAGGCCACGCGGAAACGCGACTGTGCCCTGACGTGCGTAAATCAGACGCGAGTCATTGTATCCCCCCGAGACAGACGTCAGAGAGTGCGTAGTTTTCCTCCCTTTGCCAGTGAATCGCGAATTATACGGCCACGCAAAGCGAGGTGATATCGTCTCACTGCCGGCGGAGTCTGCGGAGTCGAAAAACACAATTTCTCGTGAGACTCGTCGATCCAGTTCTCCGAAGCGACGCGAACAACCTTCTCCCCTGAATCGGTGTCCTCCAAGCCCTCTTCCGCGCTGCTACAGTCGATCCGCGGAGGCGCGCCCGCCCCGAACCGGAACCTCAACGATCTCGTCGACAACCGTAGATTCGTGACAACCAGCCCGGCGACATAACAGCACCAAGCAGCAGCACTCAGGCGTCCATCGCTGATTTCCTGAGCGGAGTCGTCCGTTGTTTAACGCTCGCAACAATCTGTTGCTTCATCCGCGACGCACTAGTAATCGATCGGCCAGAAAGAATGACGAGCACAGACAGAGCTCTCTTTCTCTCTCTCTCTCCCTCTCTCTCCTTTCCCCGGCTTTCTCTCGCTTCGGGGTTACTCGCCGCGCTGCGATGCCACCCCTGCGACACACCGGCGAGTACTAGAACGCGCGTTTCTCTAGGTCTCCGGAACCCGGTGACCGCGTTCGAGAGGGGGCGGCGGCTGTGGGAGGAGGGGTAGGCGAGATTCGCCTAAGTGGTACCGCCGAGGTCGGTGAACTTGCCGCCGGTCCTCGCCGGGATCTCGCAGGTCATGTCTCTCTCTCTCTCCCTCCCCCTCTGCCTCTCTCCCTCTCTCTCTCTCGATCGGTCACGGGGTCAATACACCCTTCCGGATGCACTCGCTGCGCTCCAGGTGCTAGCCAGGTGGAGCTCTCGCTAGGGTACTAGGACCCAGAGCAGCGGCGGCGACGGTGGTGGCTGCAGAAAGATCGGAAGGGGATGTCCCGGAACGGCGGCGACGCGACTGTTTACGTTGTTGGGAAAACGGGGAACCATGAATCCGGGCGCGACCGAGCGCTTGCGCGAACCCCGCCGCACGCAATCGATAGACTCTGACGTAGGCAGAGAGGCACACTCGCAACCCCGATTACCCGGCATCACGTTGGGAAAGGGCAGGAGAACCGATTTGTCGCCCTCCTTCTCATCCTCGCCCAATTCCTCCCCCTCCTCTTCGGTACTCACTACTCTCTGCCTCTCACGTTTTCCCGTGTTTTATCTTCTTCTCTGTTTGTTTCGTGTCATGCTTGTTTGCTTCCCTGATCTTTAGCCTGATCTAATTGTTATAGCCACCTGTTACATGACCGGTTTCTTTACGCGGTTTCTTGTACGTCTCCAACGTGCCGCGTTAATATCAGGTTGATTGCGAATTTCAAATTGTTCCGGACGATTCGAGGACGTAGTACGGCTCGATGTTGGGTATCGGTGCCTAAATAGAGGCGTTTGTTGCGCGCGCGCGCACATGCACCCTGTCTTTCAATTGCGAGTTACGATACGGATCACCGATGACACGCGCTTAAGAGACAGCGCGTGCTCTCGGTCTCTCTTCAATATTCGTTCGTTTTCATGCAAACATTGCGCGTCATCTACGAGTGTTACTTTTGCGATACTTTGGATAACTTCATTGTAGTTCTTGTGTATCCGACTCTTCATGCTATTCTACTCTAATGGCGCGTTTTACGATATGCCAGAGTCACTTACCGGTTAACAGGGGCAGCTTCTGCAGCTCCCGATTCTTCGATATATTGAACCTTGAGCTGCTCTGCCGTTTGTCCTTTTTGATCACAGGCCCGCCCGGTTGGTACTTGATTTTGTTGATGAGCGTAGGTGGAGGCGGCGCATTGCCCACCGGTGGTCCCCCCGTCACCTTATTCGCCTACAAAATACAAAGTACGAGCATTAGGAGATGCGAATGTTAAGTTAACTGCGACTTAATGTGCTACGTATCATACGTGTTTTTTTTTTTAGATAGTTGTGAGTCCCGAGACTCGGATGTAATTACTGAGTTGAAGCGTGAAATCTAAAGAAAAGCCGATTGGCGGACATGTGCCGCGATTATCGTCTTCTTCTATTAGTTCGCGTCGACCGCCCAGGTGATCGATTGATCGCGGACGATCGCTCGCTGATCAGATCAACGTTACATAAATGGAACGCGAGGAAACGACGCGACGCCATTCGTGTACACGTAACTATGCGTGTAAAAAAGAAATATTAAAAGCACGCGATGCCTCCATGACATCATCGAGGTCGCAGCGGTAGCAAGCGAGACTCGAAGACAACGTACTCTTGAAATTTTTTCAAGTGACGCCATCTTCACTTGTAGTGAGATAGTGAAAATACTGGCGCTTGGAATCGTCAGAGAGAGAGTAAAAATGTTTCACTCAAGCTTAGAGTGGATTTTGACTCCGTATGAACGAATGTTTCAGTCGATTAGAATGAATACTCAGACAGAATCATTCTAAACACATCCTAGAACATCTTGAGTACATCCAGGATAATCTCAGGACTTTCTGTCGCTACTTAAGTATGTTTCCGGGCATTCAAAAAATATCTTGCTGGTTGAGGGAAAATCCTAAATGTCGTAGTTAAAAGTTATCGCTGTTTCTTGTATCTACTAGAAAATTATCTGTAGTGTATGTAGGACTTACAGCAGCGGCACTCTAGCAATATCTAACGAATTTAGATGGATGTGAGAATTAGAGAGAATTCACACTTTAGCAGAAAAACAGAAAGGCAAAAGGTAATCAGAACTAGTGTTAGTGGTCAAGTGGTAGTTTCTGCGACAGTTTCTGCTTTTCTACCAGCGCGAATTCTGATTGGCCTTTGCCCTTTTGTTTTCTGTTTTATTGCCAAGGTGTGAATTTATTCTTATACATCCTTTTGTCTTTCATCACTAGTCTTTTTCGCTTACCACAATCATTTCCATAAGATGTGCCTGAATAGACACCACAGAAAGAGACTTTTTTGTCACAATTTTACAAATAGTTCAGATATAAAGTTCTGTCACCTATATCGGCTAAACACAAAACATATGCGATATCGCGGTGTTTGCGAGTCATTTATTCATTTTAACTAATTTCTCATACTTAGATTATCTTCGTCGACTACAAGATTATTTTTTTTAATGTGACGTATATATTCCTGTGGAGTACATCAGGCTCATTTTTCAATTTCGAGTGAAGAATATTTGAAGATTCACAGTGAAGAATTCACTCTATATAAGTGAAAGATCGCTCGAGCTCGAGTGATTCAATGATTACTCTATTTTTCGAGTGAAATTTCACTCCAAGGAACTTAAACTAGATTGTGTCAATCGAATAGTAAATAAACCACTTGCAGTTAAATATGTCTGTTTTTGTTTTCCCTTCAAAATAAACAAAGACAGAAATTTGCTTCAACTATTAGTTAGCTTACTACTCGGCTGCTGCAACCGGTTCGTATAGAATATAAAGCTATTATTCTACTCTGATCTGATGCCGCTGCTTTCAAAGCCGAACTTTTCGAGAACCAGGCTCGCGCGTCTCTCTACGATCGAATAGCTCGCGAAGTTATCGTTCCATTTTAGCAGCGCGTTGCATCTTGGAACGTATTATGATTAGCCGATTTCTTGACTTCGTACGAGCGAATAATGAATACTCTCGCATGTGAAGAAGTCGGTCAGCTTGTTGGTCGACTATCGAAGTTTACGGTCGGAGATTGCAGAGAGAAAGAGCCATCAGGACACTTGTTTCAAGAATTTGCGTGGGACCCGGCAAAGGGTGCAACACGCGTTTCGCCTGCTCTTTCATCTGCCGAATGGCATTCCTCGTTTTCAACGGCAGTCACTCATTATTCCGAAAAAATGTGGCGGGACAGTCGCCATGAAAGAGGAGGAGTGAATATCCCGCGCTCGGGAGAGGAAGAGGGTTGGTGGCGCACCGTTTGATACCGACGTCACCGCTTTTAACGGGTTTGCTCCAATTTGTCGATCTCTATTTCTTGCCCAGTTAGAATCGCTGTCGCGATCCCAATATAAAAGCGACGTAGCCATTCGTGTCGGAACGTGCAATCGAACGAATAAATGATTTCCGAGTTCGCTCGTTTGACGCGATCTATAAACGAAGAATCGACATGTCAGCCGAGAGGTCGTCGACTTTCGCTCCGACACGCTCATTCACTGCGACGCGATTAACCTTTGATCACGAATGAGCGTCCGTTTTCTAGTCTTTCGTGTTACTTTGCACAATGTCTCCTGATAGCATCGCGAAATAAAGTAATAATGCGCATCCAACGTATCGGTCGCACGCGCATTGTTTTTCACGAGATAATCGCCGACAGTCACTCTCGAATCCGAAAAGAAGGGTCCCCAACGTTGTGAGACTCGATCCCGAGGAACTTGAAATCGCGCTCGAAATTTTAATCGATTTAAAAATGCCTGCCGGGATTTAAATGTCGACACGCGGCCTCGTTCGCGCACAGAAAGAAACATTAGTACCCACTTAAAACATACTCAAATCAACAATTATTGCTTCATGCACGAGCAACGATATGTATCTTTGTCTTTGAAGAATTTTCCAATCTTGAATTTCAACGGTTACGATTTGAATATTGTAATAAAATCTATTTTTTCTCGAAGAACTTCTTGAACTGGTGTATATTGGTGCAGTAAGTTAGAGTGAGACAAGTATATTTTATTTCACTCTGACTTATTGCATCGGTGTACGTCAATCCAGGAAACTCATCGAAAAAGGATAGAACCTATAGAGAAGACTGGCAATTGGGGCAAAGCTCGGGCGCTCCTAACCAAAATATTAAAGAAGAAAAAGAAGGACATACCTACAGTCTCATATAAAAGATTCTGACGATACCGATATCTTCCTCCGACAAACGTCATACTCTCAATTCAGTATTTCGCGCTTTCTATCCACGAGAATTATACTTCGGAATAATAAAAATATACTTTTTTTGATTAAATCACATATAAAATGTACTGATACAAGGGACTTATCTCCGTTGAACGCCATGTAATTTCACTTGAAGATTTGTCCAAAATAAAGGTATCTTTCAGACAAGAATATTCTTTTTCTCTGCACAGGAGGACACTTGCCTTCTTCTTGAACACGTTCCCGAAGGCGAGTCCGCTGAGCGTTTGCATTTTGCTCTGCATTCCAGCGCACGTGCCACGGTACGATCGGCCCAGGTAGGAGATTCACTATCGGCACAGTCTGTCGGCAGGCCGCCCCAGGAAAAACGATCTCGCGGCGTCGTCGCGGCGCAACATGATTCTCGCATTCGCGATGATCCTCCGGCTGCCTTCTCACGGGACGAGAATCTCAGTCTCACTCACTCATACACACACACACACATATACACACACACACACACAAATCGCGATGCAGCCGAATCACCGAGTTCTTTTCTTTCTCTCTCTTTCTCTCACGAGCTACCGAGAATATCCACTTTTCACCGTTTGCATCCACCGTCTCGCGAAAATCCCGCCGGCGAGACCCGAGGGTGCATCCCCCGAATGCACGCCCGAGAATACCTCCGCGAGATACGCAAGGAACGCGGTGATTTCTCTTGCTTTCTTTCCTTCCCAAGACTAAAGCGGCGAATCGATTTTTCGAATATACTCTACGGGCGTGTGCCGCAGTGTTTGTGTGGGTGAGACCTTGCGAAACGGTTTTATCTACCGATACGAGAAAAATGCGACTCGCTCGACCGTAGTCCACCGGCACGCGAAAAGTCGACTTTCAAGTTACGATTTCCACACTGCGGCGTAGAAAACTCGCTGTTGAAGTTTCGGCCGCTAAACAAGGTAGCCAATAATCATACGCCAATGGTCACACAATTCTCGTGGAATAGCCTGCTATTCCTGCGAGGAGGAGCGCGGGCCAGCCTCGTGTCGCTTCTTTGGCGCCACGAGAGCGCATTGTCGCGAAATTCCGCGAGCACGATCATTGAGCAGGTAAAGTGTGTCAGCGATTAATGACGGTTGCACGTGTCACACGATCTATTTGCAACGGCGACAGGCGGACGTCTCTCTTGCAACTAGTTTGCGCGCGAAAACGCGGACGTACGTACAAAAATAAGTTGGTGGAACGAAGTGTCTGGGCAAGAGCGTCGTAGATCGTCTCTCTTATCCAAGATTAGGAAAAGCAGCACGACGCGGTGTGTATTTGTGCGTATCTGTGTTGTGTGTTCGTGGCAACACGTTCCTCTCTCTCTCCCTCTTTCTCTCTCTCTCTTTCTCTACCTATGCTAGATCCAACGTTCGCGGCGGCGCTTGCCGCTCGCAGAGTATTTTCGTCACTTGACAATCGAAAGTACGACGAGTGAGTAAATATTATCTTTATGTCGCTGGCCGTCACGCGATGTTTTGTAACTCAATATTTCCAAGTGGCGATATTCTCGAAAGGGACAACGCGTTTATTACGACTAATACCGATCACATGCGCGCAGTTCCTCCCCACCGAGACAATCGAATTTTCCCCGATCGTACGTTCTCTGATTGTTGAGAATATATCGGGAATCGCACCGACATCGTCACGCCGTTCAACCCGCGACGTAACTCCACGCTCGGAGTTTCACTTCGTTCCTCCTACTCCTCCTCGGCGACGCTCAGGTCTACGATCTCGCATCCTCTTCGATGATAAACAAAAGCACCTATATACCGATAAACAAATAAACCGCTCAACTTTCGCAACGATCGTAAACCAGCTTCTCCCGCGCGTGTCGAGTTTTACGGTTCGGTTCATACATAAAACATCGACCAACTTCGAAAACTGGCTTTATCCAGCGACCGGAAAGCAATCGCGACCCGTTCGATGACGGCGACGGCGACGATGACGATGAGAAGGAGCAGCAGAACACGGCGCGGTGTTACCACGGGCTTCGGCGGTCGCGGTAGAGAATCCGCGGCATTCCTGCGCGCGAAAAGGGTGATATAAATATTTCTCCACGCGGTGCTTGTCCACACACGACGCGGAGGAGAGTATTCTCGCGGCCTGATCTAGCCGCGCGCTCTTCACCACGCGGACAAAGGCGCGCTCAGGACTGCCGCACTCGACGCGGCGATGCGCCGCGATGGCGAGACATCGGCGGTACGTCGTCGTCGTCGTCGTCGTCGTCGTCGTCGTCGTCGTCGTCGTCGTCGTAGTCGTCGTTCGCCTCCCAATCGAGAGATCCGCGGATCTTCGCGCGACACTGTTTTCTCTCGCCGGGAGAGAGTTTCTCCGAGTGAGAACGCGCGAACCAGCGGCCGACAGGAAAATAGGGGACGAGAGAGGAAGGAAAAGAGAGAGCAAAAGACGTAAACACGTGGTGACGCGGACGAAGAGAAAGAGAGAGAAAAATAGAGAAAGAGAGAGCAATACGCGAAACGACAGCGTCGCCGACGTCGCGACGCCCGAGATCGTCCGGCGAGACGCTTTACGGCGCGGCGACGGCGGCCGAGACGGAGACGCAGCGGAGACGACGACGACGGCGACGGCGGCGAGAACACACTGCCAGAGGCGAGCGACAGCGTGCACTCGTGACCGAGAATCGCAGCAGCCACTTGCGACACTCCGATACATACGTACACACCGCAGGTTTTGGCGAGCGATCGGCTCTCGCGGCACGCCGCCGTCCGATCGACGCCGATCGTTCAAGGCCGCCACGTATGACCTTAACCCTCACGCCAATTACGAGGAATTACGTTTCATCTTGTGCGCGCGCGAGAGAAGGAGGTATACACGCACGCACATACAAACACGTAGTCCCACCGCGCGACTTTTCTTTTGCACTCTTCATGTTCTTGCGCGACTCTTGCGTGAAACGAGGAGCCGCCTGAGATTTCGGACCGGTCACAAGATGCGCCCTCTGCGAGATAAGAGAGCGGATAGAAGAAGCTTTAGAACCGAGACTCGAGAAGGATGAGATGTAAGGGATAAGGATGAAGGTCTATCCTCTTCTCCGGTCTTACTTTGATGTATTTGAAATGAGACCAAGTACTCCTCGTTGCTCGGAGACAGACGGGAAAAAGTGCTTGTTATCGACGTGGTGCGTAGATTACGTTGATACAACGCGAATATGGATATCAAAGCTAGCAGAAGAGTCCATGGTCTGCCTTAATGAGTTGCACAAACTTGCAGAAGTTCTTGGAGCTAATAACGTCGATACGGGACGTGATTCAGATCGATGGTCAGTTTGCAAGCGAGGTACAAATCGAGCGAGATGAGATGTAAAGGATAAGAAGACGAAGGTCTATCCTCTTCTCCAATCTTACTTTGATGTGCTCGAGATGAAACAAACACACGTTGCCTCAGGACAGATGGAGAAGTGCTTGTTATCGACGTGGCATGTAGATTATATCGATACAACGCGAGTATGGATATCAAAGCTAGCAGAGAAGTCCACGGTCTGTCTTAATGAATTAATCAATGAAATCTTAATGAATTGTACAAACTGGCAGAACTTTTTGCAATAAATGACGTCGATACCGAGATGTGACTTGGATCGATGGTCAGTTTGCAAGTGAGGTACGAATTAAAGAGAATGAGATGTAAAAGATAAGAAGACGAAGGTTTATCCTCTTGTCTGGCCTTACTTTGATGTGCTCAAGATGAAACATCTACGTTGCCTCGTAGATAGACGGAATAGTGCTCGTTATCGACATGTAGATTACGTTGATACAATGCGAGTGTGGATATCAAAGCTGGCAAAGAAATTCACGGTCTATCTTGCGCCTCCAACCAGACAAAAGTGCTCGCGTAATATCTGTGAGATACACACATGCGTCAATTCTTATAGATAATAGCGAAAACTCCACTAATTATGTTAAGAGGGAAATAAACTACATTATGTGCGAACTCCTAACAAAACTTACGAAAACTAAACAGAAAATTCGGTCTTGTCTAATGGCGTATCATAAAGCGCATCCTAATTGCTCAAGAAAGTCATGTATCTCTCAGATAAGGTGCAAGCGCCGCGGTGTTAACGAATTACACAAACTTGTAGGATTTTTTGGAATTAATGACGTCGGTTGCCGAGACGTGACTCAGATTGATGGTCAGTTTACAGGCGAGCTACAAATCACGCGCGCGACTTTATCGCGCGACGCATTACGTAATGTATTTACAAGTCCATATATTGTCGTGCGTAACGCGACAGTAAAAATGTCTTCATGATCGGGAAGCGATAATGACACAAGTAGACAATAAATCGATTTATTGATACACACGCGCGTCATCGTCCTTCGTTCATTTCATCCTGACGCAGGAGCAAGCCGCTGCTTTGCCAACGAACCGAAGGAGTGCATATCCCGGGGTTCTCGCGAGTTCGCGTGGCGGGAGTAATATTCTCGATAAACTCGCGTTAACACGCAGTATCTCTCTCTTTGTCCACGCGATATATATCGTTACACAATGTTAATACAGAAGAGCGTATCGACAGGACAATTACGAACACGGCGGCCAGGTCTTTTGTGCGTCGCGCATTTGTCTTCCTGTCATTCATTATTCCCTAACAATGATGATGAAGCGGGTTTAAGCGCCGCGTGACGAAACGACAATGCCCGGTTATTATTTTTGAATACCTGTGCAAGTACGCATATCTCTCTCTCTCTCTTTCTCTCTCTTTCTCACGCGTGCATACGGGAGAACCACACCGGGAACCGCGCACGCGTTTGTCCACATGTGGTTATTAGCGGGGTGACAAAAGCGACACGTGCTCACCGCGCAATTTGTCAACGAGCCAGTCAGTCATCGTGGTTAAGCCCGTTTTAGACGATCTATAATTCGCGACAGGATCTACGCGCGATTTCAACGAGGATAGGAGAGAACAGGCGCTCCCCCTCCCTTCCTTCCTGCCACCGCGCTTCGTCTGCAGTCGAAGATCTTCCATCGCGATAGAATCGACGTGTATGATATTCATGCAGACTGTCCTGTTTTCCACGATATTATTAGTATTCGTACTTCTCTCTCAGTCTCTCCCTCTCTCACTCTGAAGTCTTGCTATTTTCGAAAAGGGAGAGCTAACTCTGCGCGTATCAGCTCTCGGGCCCCTCGGATAGCCGACGAAAAAGCAGCTGACGAGACACACACAGGCTGGAATGCACCATCGGTATTGACTATTATTAGCGCGCTTTCTATTTCGCACGGCGCCCGAAATAGAGTGAGTAAGTGAGTAAGTGAGTGAGTGAGTGAGTGAGTGAGTGAGTGAGTGAGTGAGTGAGTGAGTGAGTGAGTGAGTGAGTGAGTAAGTGAGTGAGTGAGTGAGTGAGTGAGTGAGTGAGTGAGTGAGTGAGTGAGTGAGTGAGTGAGTGAGTGAGTGAGTGAGTGAGTGAGTGA